GGGTCTGTTTAGACCCCTAATATTTCCCCAAAGCCCCTAAAAGTAAAGTAAGAAATAAAAATATTTAATAAAAAATGAATTTATAAATAAAAATATAAAAAAAAATTAAAAAAAAGTTTATAAAAAACAACATTTTCGGTATCAGTTTCGGACTGACTTTTTTTTTTCCGTTTTTGTTTTTAAAATTTCCATTTCGGTGCATCTCTAGTTAAAAGTTTGGTTTGCCTAAGATCTGAAGTGAATGGGATCACAAAGAGATCCTCGCGATATAGCAGCCTTAGCTACATTCACGGTGGGCATAATAGTGGGGTGGTTTTGAATGGTAGACGGCACCTGGATGGAGCACCAAGGATGTCCCGAGAGTGGGGCAACTAGAAAGAGTGTTATATTGAGATACACAATTTAATAAATATCAGAATGCCTACACCAATTAAGAATGTGAGCTAGGTGAATTGCCAAGTAGCAACGGTAGAACGTCAGGGAGTGCCACACCGCCAACGCATTTGGGTCGTCGTAAAATTCTATGTTGCAGTTTGGCAGATTTATCAGTCAATTCAAGTTTGGGGAAGATAGATTGGACGGTACGGAAAAAGATCGATATGGATGGTGAGAGCCTGCACTAAAAAAAAAAAAAGTATAGCAGTCTGGGGAGAATATTTTGTTTTCATCTCATCCAAGAAAACATACCCTGCGGCCATGTTCATAAGTTTCTAGTAATCATTGACAAAGAGGGAAATTCATGGAGAAGGTCAATGATGGGTCCCCAAGGAGGTGGATACCCAAGTACTTCAACGACTGGGGAGCCCACAGAAAAATAAAATTGCTTATAACTCTAAGGAGTCTGTCCCCAGACAAAGATATGTGTCTGATTTCTGTGAGTTGATATGGAAGTTTGAGAGTTTCGCAAACGTCTTGAATTTTGAAAGGAGAACCGGAATAGAGATGTCAGGAGAAGCCATCCGCAAAACTGCTTGATGTCTGGTTTAGACCGAATTGTGGACATAAAAGGTTCCAGTGTCAGAACAAATATTAGAGGTAATGGGGGGCAAACCTGACAGGTGCCGAGATGTGAAAAGTGGGGGATAAAACTCCATTTAAAATCAGACTCTCGCAGATGGGCAAGGAGTGCAGAGTCTGGATCCAAGTAAGCATGTAGAGGCCTAGGCCCAAAGCCTTCAATGTCGGTGCAGAAACTCCCATTCTTTCCAACTGAACACGTTCGCACCATCAGTAGAAAGGAGGATGCACAGCGTCCCATGGGATAGGGCCAAGTGGATAACATTCAGGCTCCAAGTGGTATTATCCCTAGCTTCCTGAAGAGAATAATCCCCACCCGATCAGGGTGTATAAGATCACACAAGTCAGGTACAAGGCACAAGTACAGGATTTTTGCAAATAAATTGGTATCTACGTTTAATAGGGAGATGGGTCTGAAATTGGGACAAAGAGCAATCCTTCTTTTGCTTCAGGAAAAACACTGATACATGCTAGTAACGAATAGTAAACAGTGACAGTTCCACAATGAATTGAGGGTAGTAGTAAAAAGGAGGAGGAGAGGAGATGCAGGATTTTTTTTTTTTTTTAATAGTAAGGGAGAACCCTTTAGATCCCAGCCCCATTCCAGTTTGGGTGCACTTTAGAGCAGTCTCCAGTTCTAGGGATGTGATGGAAGCTTCCAAGGAGGGAGCTGGTATGATGCTCTAGGAAAGGCATACATTACTTTTGAACGTACACCTAAAAAAAAGGTGCCCGACGCAAAACAGAGGCCGATGAAGACTCATCGTGAGGTATGTTATATAGGTCTGTGTATTGTGCATTTAGTACTTGTTTTACTGTGCTGTGTTGCCTCCCTTTAGCAAGATATTTACTACATTGGTTACCGTATTCATAGAATGAACGCCTGCATTTGACAAGGAAAGTAAAGTCCATGAACCCATCACACTCGAAACCGCCGTTCCAAAGTAATAAAAAGGTGTGTCCTGCCGCTGGCCACCGCAATATTTAGCTAGTAGAATATATAGAGACACCGGCACTCGAAATAGTGAATCAGATATGTCTATTTATTGACTTACAAGCAGCAGAACGTGATGCACTCAATGCGACGTTTCGGGGTCTCACAGGATCCCCTTCCCAATCACTTGTTCTGCCTGAAGGGGATCCTGTGAGACCCCGAAACGTCGCATTGAGTGCATCACGTTCTGCTGCTCGTACGTCAATAAACAGACGTATTTGATTCACTATTTGGAGTGCTGGTGTTTCTATGCAATTGACAAGGGTCACCTTCACCAGGCATAGAGAATTTAGTTGTTCTCGCAGCTCTCCCAACTGAGCTCCGAGATGAGGTTGGACTCCACCACTCCATCACATAGCTGTCCATTCAAGGAGGCCCTGGGTGTTACAGGAAATGAATATCCACAACATGGCAGCATACATAGGGAGCATGGATGGCAAACCGCCCCATTCAAGGCAAGGCAGAGGAGAACTCTGACCGAACCAAATGTGAGTAAGGGAAAGCTCTGCTAGAGCCAATATGCACCCGGGGTGGTTGCTTTTCCTCAAGGCAGATAAGAAACCTCAGGGATAGATGGGGAGGGAGGGTCCCATAATAGGACAACCTGGAGGTTAGTCCTAGGACAAGCCCAGGCATGTAACCCCCCAGGTCCACTGTCCCCGATTCACAGGGGAGGACACACTGGGAGGCCCCTGCAACTAGCACGCAGGCCTATAGAGAAAATAACAAAAACGGTTACGATGCTCCTGTTAGGCCGAAGGAAACACAATAAACTGAGGTGGTGGGGCGGTACAGCCCCTTTTATTTTAACTACCTCCCGGCCAGCCGCTGTGTATACACGGCCTGCCGGGAGCTTCTTGGATGTAACTGGGCGTGTATACACGTCCTGTTACATCCGCCCGCTCGGGCGCGGCGCGAGCGGGAAATCCCCGCTATTTGAAAAGAGGCAGCGATGCCCGTTAATATACAAGATTATAGCATAATGTAAAAAAAAAATTTCTCAAAATTTTCAGTAATTTCTCCTGAATATAGTAAAAAATAAAACCCGCAGTGGTGATTAAATACCACCAAAATAAAGCGCTATCTGTCCCCAAAAAATGGTATAAAATTCATTTCAGTACAGCGTTGCGTGACGGAATAAATGTCAGTCAAAGTACTGCAGCGCTGAACACTGAAAAATGGCCTGGCCAGGTAGGGGATCTAAACACCTGGTCTTCAAGCGGTTAATTGTGGATGATGTGTGTCCTGTTTGGGTGGGTGGATTCCCTCTCTCTAGAAATCTTCATTTCTAAAACATAGGTTGCAGTAGGGATCTTCCTGAGAGAAGGTGAAATGTGCTCTTTACCCAAATGATACAAGAAGAACCTGAAGACTTAGCGATACCAATCAGATGTGTTCATGATCACTGGAAGGCCAAACAAGAAAACCTGAGTGAAACCTATAGACCTCAGCCGGTTTCAAAGCAGACCCAAGCAATGAAGACCAGAATGCCCTATAAAAAAAAAATACTGGGATTTGACAGGTTTCCAGATTAGGTCCCTCTGTAAATATTGAAGTCACCAACTGTAACAAGTTTTTAGTTAGTTTTTTTAACCCTCCAAATAGAATTAGTTAACAGACTATAAAAGTTATTTATTTATATGTGAAAAAGGTGTTTGGGAGTTAATGTCAATAGGTTAATCAATAACAGCTTGTAATCCAACAATTCATAGGTTAGCTAGCCAAAAAACTAAAATAATTGGAACAAACAAGAAAATCACCATTGAAATTTAACATTAGTTTTAGAAATTAAAAGTTGCAAATGGAAGGTTTCTATGAAGAATGCCGTCACTAAGGCCTCTTAAAAGCTGGGATTGCTGTATATATATTACTACTGTATTTCTACAGTATTTTGGTGCAAGGCCTCTGGTTCTAGGTGTTCTGTTCTTAGTGAGCCTTTTTTTCTGAGTTAGCCACATTTAACCAGTAGACGTCCAATATGTTACAAATGACGACACCTTGGATTTTACACTCGACTCATCTAAAGCCTTGATGAATGGGATATAATAAAACCCTGAAGGTGTTGGCCATGATTACATCAGTCAAAAGAAAAGCATCTTCGAATTAGAACATTTTGTGTGAAAAAGGGATGGAAATGCATAAGCACAGACTCCATGGAAGTAGATCCTAAAAATTGACTGGCACATTACAGTAAGAGGGTCAATCCTTTTTAAAGATAAGAGAAGGCTCTCAAAAGATGTCCTATACAGTAACAGCAAGCTCAATTACATAGGAATTTATCATTGCAAAATCTGTAGAAACTAGAACATTATATATGTATCTTAGTATCCCAAAATTAGAAGTTCCATGACAGAATGTCTGTTTTACCCATTGTCCTGTTAAAACTTGAAAACAATATGAATGATGTATTTTGCATTGTTCACTTACTGTTTTGAGAAAATTGGTATCTCTCACAGTACTCTTCTGGCCCACTCGAGTAAATATGTTTCTTCCCAAAGAGTTCTTCAAAGCTGTTAAAAGAATGCACAACATTTATTCATAGAGCAACAAAGTTCCATTACTCAAGCCAGGAGTCGTACATTAGACTTAATTTTGATACCATTCAGAATCCATGTCCATAAGTGGAGTGAGGAGTTGTCGAGTAAAATAACTTAATATTGCAGTGCACTCTACTAGGTGTACCTTCTTAAAAAAGGGACCCAGTCACCAACTTAAAACCCAGAACAAACAAGTAATACAAATATTTACTTGACGCGTTTTATTTTGGTATAAAAACTTTTCTTTATTTTTATTTATTATTATGAACTGAAAATGTGCCATTGAATTTGCTAGAAAATGTGATTTGGCAATACCCTAGCACAGCACCCACCTCTCCTTGCATGTCAAAGCCCTTTCCTCTTCTGGGAATTTAGAATTACTCTGCGAGCTGGCCCAACTACTTCTCACCAATCCTACATAAAAACTTTTAATGTAGGTGCTAGCGGAGGAGCAAAGAAAAATAATATTGTATGTCACTTGTCTACTGGGGCTGTTAAAAGCAGCATTTGCATGTCTTTTGGAGGTCTACACCAGGGAGTTTTTTTTACAGGTAAAACAATGCCTAAAATAGATTATAACGGGAAGATTGTTGTGGAAACAAATGGCCATATAAACTATGCGAACAAGAGGTTTAGCTATTGTTCAAACATCAGAACATATTTTGCAGTATGAAAGAGTAAGAAACTTAGCCTAAAGAAGCAGCAAGACACACAATCATAGTGAGAAAAAAAAGTGTCATTAGAAATACTAGTGCTGCATGTAAGATCAGACACTTCCGAAATCACTGGACACATACTTGTTATAGGTCAGTGTCTCTATAGGCAACAAAGCAAGGACTATAATAGTCCTGGAGCAGTCACCGATAAAAATAAAAAAAAAAGATTTCAACAACATGGTGGCTACCTACTCCACCCTGTAGACCCAACCTCCATTGCTGCCCTAGGGCTGGATGGGGTGTTTTTTTTTTTTCTTTAAACCTAAAAAAAAAAACTGTACATGTGATATGTTCTATAACCATATATGCATTATCATTTACCATACATCTAAATAAAGATTTCAAAAGAAAAAAGAAGAAGCTCACAATAATGCATAACTCATAGTTCTACTTTCAAAGAAAAAAAAAAATACAAATATAACGCAAGAGCCTTACCTGCTTTGATCTTCCACATCTCGGGGATACAACTCAGAAAATGAGAGTTTTTGACTGGGCTTGTATGGATTAATGCTAGGAAAGAAAAATAAAACTTTAACTTACAGCATTCTAACAAGGTTGCCTGCAAACCAGATATTTTTACTTTGACAGCTCACCATCCTGCTTATGAATATAAGCTGTATGGGGGCTGTTTGTGGTATGTTAAAAGGATAAGGCAGGGAGCCAAGTTAAATAAATTGAGGTCATTTTACTGTGCTACCAAGATTTGGGGGGGTCTCAGACACACAAAAGACAAATTGCTGAATAGTAAATATATTTTCCGCCATCTAGATGTGCCTGTTCATACGCTATGATGATAGTAACACACTGGTGCCCACAAGTGCAAAGCTCGGGTGCTATTTCAAAATGACAGCCAGGTAACCAGCATTTGCCATAAGGAAAATGTAACAACACCCCTATATTTCTCTCATGAATTGTTTAAGAAGCCAGGAAATATGTACAGGCAGTCCCCGGGTTACATACAAGATAGGGTCTGTAGGTTTGTACTTAAGTTGAATTTGTATGCAAGTCGGAACAGGTACATTTTTTAAGTGTAACTCCAGCCAAAAAAAACATTTTTTAGTTTTGGATAGCATAGGAAAGGGTCACGTTTGTTTTTGCTGTGTTCCCATTGTTCATAAGATTATAATATAATTTAAAAAATGTTTTTATTTAAAATGACACCAAAAAAGTTTTTCTACTCTTAATTTTATAAACTTTTTTTTCTTTTTAATTTTATTTTTTTCAACTTTTTATTTTAATGCTGAGAGCAATAGCCAGCCTGCTATAGGATATTTCAAATTGCAATAGCCAATAGCAGGCTAGCTATTGCATCTGCCCACTGCCAATCAGCAGAGGAGGGGCCTGAAGGAGAAAGTTCTCCACTGACAGCGGGCGGGTGCAATAGCCAGCCTTCTATTGGATTTTACAATATCCAATAGCAGGCTGGGTATGGCTCCCAGCCTGCAAAGGAAGGGGAGGCGTGGCCGAAACGGGGGAAGGAGGAGGCGCGGCCAAAACAGCAGTGGAGGTACGGGGGCAGCGGAGGAATGCATCGGTCTGTGTCCCCGCTGCCTCTGCCAACACGTGGGGAGAGCAGCGGGGATTTGAAGGGACACCGGCCGCTGCAGCCACAGTTCTCCTAAATGTGCTGGCGGCTGCCGGTACATTTAGGAGAACTGCGGATTTCGGTCCGTAAGTAACGGGTTGTCCGTAAGTAACGGGTTGTCCGTAAGTAACGGGTTGTCCGTAAGTAACGGGTTGTCCGTAAGTATTTTATTAAATAAAAAAAGAAAAAATTATAAAAACCAAACCAAACTTACTCTAACAGACGAGGAATTCCACTTGGTTTCCTGATGAAACAAAACAAATTTAAAAAAAAAGTTAGTCTGAAAAGAAAGAAAGGGGAAAAAAAAAACATTTAATAAATGTAAGCCTGAAGCTAAAGCTCTACTGAAGGTACTAGCTGTAGTCTCAGTGATACGGATATTGCAAAAAAAATATTTTGAAGTAAAAGTATTGGTGTTTTCTGTATGCATCTTCCATGATGAGGAGTAAACATTGTTTTAGTTTAATATGAAATACTGTACATCAATATTGCATTCTCAATTTCAGCCAGTAGGTGCAGATTGAGGCTTCTTTTCATGTTTTCCAGTTTACTCTTCCCTCCTCTAGAAACATGACAGTTGTTACCAGATCTGAGTTTTGCAAAGAGAATTAAAGAATTAAATTGGTGACTCACAACCCCTCATCACTTTCATACGGCTGCCTCCAAAGTTTGACAAAGAACCCAGAGGGCAGACACCTTCTGCTGTGATCTCCCATCAGACAACAATTTGTCGCAGATGCACCATGTGTTAAATGTTTGTAAAACAAAGAACATAAAACAGTATAAAACATCAATTTGTAAAAAGTTCTTAAAAAGGAGAACCATGTGTGACAAACTGTCACACGTCGGCTCTACTGACCGGGAAGTGAGCAGAAACATGGTCTCCCTGCAGTGACGGTCAGTCACGGCTCCGCTCAGGGATCCCCCCTCATTCCTCCAGCTCTGACGGAAGGAATGGACGGGGAGGGTTGGGCACAGCTGGCTCTGCTTCTAGATAAGCAGGGCCCGCTGTCAATCAGCAGACTCGGTGGATCTTGATAGTATTGTCGGGATTTGGCTCGGCTGTGGTGCTCTCAGTATATAGCGAGCAATAGCCCACTATATACTAATCTTTGGGTCACGGGAGAATGTTAGTATATGTATACATAGTTAACCCTAACTATGGGATTAAAAAGTTGTGCCATAGTTTTTAAGGGTTTACTTAGGGATTAGGTTATATTTTAAGGGTTGGATGAGTTGAGTGTTAAGGCGAGTGTTGGGTTAAATAGTTCTCTTATAAAATTAAGGCAATATTAAAGACAAAAACGTTTTAAGCTTTTTCAAATGCTGATGAAATCACTTACAATGGATGCTGCGTCTTGATGTTTGAAGTTTTAGTTTCCTGCAGAATCAGCTGGTCTCAATATCCTGTTTTATGGTGGCTCCTTTCCCTTGCAGGACCCTATGTGTATGCTAGTAAGCTCTGTGTGTGTGTGTCCATGAACACACAGGCACAGCAAGACAAACCACTACTTTTTCCCTGCTCCCCAGTCCTCCCTTCTCCATCCTAGTAAATAGAAAGCTGCTGGAGACTATGATGTTCATTGTGACCCTGTAATGGACAGGAAAATCAGGGAAGTGGAGCTGAGAGAGTTTTAGTCAACTGTTTGGAAACATGATGACCAAAAATTGAAGGAAAGATTTTGCTGGACAAAGTAGATTTGTTTGATTTGGATTCTTTATTGAAAAAAAAGGTTTGAGAGTTTAAATACAACTTTAAAATTAGCCCCAAATCATTTATAAACCTAGGGGGAATCTTTACTTTTAAAATCAATGTTTTAAATATTTTTACTATGCATGTACAATCTTTAATTTTACAAACAAAAACAGTTAATACATGCACTCGTGACAGGTTATCTCCCTTCCTGCCACAAGGCAAAAAAAGAAAAGCAGGAGGATTAACTCCTCTCAAATTCAAATTTATACATTTGAACTTAAAAGGATAATTAAAGCCTCCCGTTTTTTTTTTGCATAGCTCTACTGCTAGCAAGCAGTAGATCTATGCAAAAAGAGTAAAAAGGAGGAGAGACACAAGGTAAGTCTATGCACGCATGCAGGGCCAGCCTTAGGGGTGTGCGAGCAGTGCGGCCGCACAGGGCGCCATGGCAACAAGGGCGCCGTGCGGCCGACACAGCTCGTCAGGATTTCCTACTAGGAGGCCCAACTTTGCATAAAACTGCTGTATTTTTCCTTTAAAAAAAATAAAGTTTTAGATTCCTAATTTTCTAGTGGGTTCCCGCAACATCATCTAAGCGGCTGCTGTGGAGGCACCCGTGTGTGCTCATTCCCGGCCGTGCCACACATATACACTTACAGCCCTGTGGCAGGCCATGCCCATCCTCTCTGCCCAACAGTTTGTTTGATGACAGAAGGAGCCTATGTGACTCCTCTGCCATCAGTATCCTGCCCCCGCAACCAGCTCGTTTCTGATGCACGGTTTTATGCGCATAAATCAGGTTGCACGTTTTTGTGAGCAGATTGCAGCTCATTGATGTTAATGAGCAAACGCGTGCAAAACCATAGCAAATGCACGTTTTCAAGAGTTTCCTATTGAGTCTATGGGGCCAAAACAAGCTGTAATATGCCAAAAAAGCTCAGGATGTGAACAGGACCATAGAAATTTTAAAAATGTTTATCGTTTTTTTAGGACAGAAAAAGTGCTACAAAAACGCTCAGTGCGAACCAGGTGTTAAAAAAAAGGTAAAAGATGCCCCAAAAAAAAAAAAAAAGGTAAAATATTACTACTACTTTAAGCTATAGAGCTCTGTAAATAACAGTGGAAAGCAGAAATCACCAGCACTCAGTAAATATCTTTGATGTGCATTTAATCGGACCAATCGTCAATTGTCATGTACAAAAGAGCGACGTTTCCGGGCCGCATAGGATCCCTTTATCCTATTTTGTACATGACATTTGGTCCGATTAAATGGACATCAAAGATATTTACTGAGTGCTGGTGATTTCTGCTTTCCACTGTTTGTTGCACGGTGCCATCCGTGATTGTCACTGCGAGCACCACTACAAGTACTTGGACCGGGAGTGCTGTGAGGAGTGCAGAGGGACTTACTACAGCTTACTTAGGTTTCTTTCTCTGTGGTCTGTAAACTACAAGATCACACTTAACTCGCTTCTTCCCTCTCTTATAAAACATGGCCTTCCTCCACTGTCACCAAGGTGTGGACTAAGATACCAAGCTAATGATCAAGGCTGCATGAATAAAGTTGTTCAGCATACTTTAGCAGATGAAACGTTACATCTGAATATTTTACCTCTTACAGTCGAGAAGATTTTGACCTACAGTTGCACTCAGACAACCGGTTTGACTTTCCCTGGATCAGGACAAAGAATTAAAAACAAACAAATCTTACTGCTCTCCATTTCATCTTCTACAGAAATATTTAAAATTTTATGTCTAGGCCACACGCACGCACACCGACCTTGTCTCCTGCATTGGTTTGCTGGAAAAGATATTGATGTATGCACGTGGCGTGGGACAGAAAGGGATGGGCAGAAGGTGGAGTTCTGTAGACCAGCAGGCAAAACTGGCAACCATCTTTGCACCACTGAAATCCCCAACAGGACCCTAGATGCACACTGAACTTCTGGCAGATCAATAGGTATTTTTCTGTACTTGCAGCATTTTTGGAGGGAATAAAACATGGGAAAAAGTGCACGTACATAGCCACAGCTATACTACAAAACTATGTTTTTGGTAACATTCTACTGCTGACCCACAAACGCACTTAAGTTGCTGTTTTATATTTTAACAGCAATTAACAAAAGTAAGGGATGCACCGACACCTTTTTCAGTATCGAGTACATATTTTGTTTTTTCGGTACTCGCCAATACCGAGTACCAGTGCCTTGTGCCCCGATTATCAGTAAGTCGGCCGGCGGATTATGACCCCCCTCCCCCGGCTTCCTGATTGCCTGTGAAGTTGGTGTTTTAGCGAAAGAACAACGGCTTCAGAGGCTGCCGAGCTTCCTGGCCAATCAGGAAGCCGGGCGGTAAGTCATAAGGTGCCACCGCCCGGCTACCCAATTCATGCCCCCTCGGCACTGCCGGTCAGAGGGAATTCTCCCTCTAAGCGGAAGTGCCAGTATCGGAGCTAAGTATCAGAGCATTTGGGCGAGTACTCGCCCAAATACTCGGTATCAGTGATCCCTAACCACAATATCATTTTTGCATAGTACAATCCAACAGTGTAATTTGCTGAAATCAACTTGTTTTTTTGGCCATGTGTCCATTCTTTCTCCAAGACACACCATGGATAAGGAGGTCTGAACAAGGAACAAAAAAAAGTTCACTGAATAGAGCAAATCTCCCAGCTAGGATCACACAGTTTGTTTTGCAAACCTTGATTATACTATGGATGTGGTTTGAACAGCCACGGTTTGTGAGAGGGTCGTGTCCAGGCAGTTGAATATAAAAGTACTGTTCCACTGAAATTACCAACACCTAACATTTTAAAAGATTGTTAACCTATTTTGAATGATTTGTCATTGTTTTTTTCCAGTTCCCCCTCAATATATCACATACTGATAGAAAGAACTTGCACCATTCCTAAATGGCTCACAAAAGGTAATTTTTCCTATGTAGCCAGATAATGGTAACAGATACATGTAAGAGTATGTAAATGCAGCAAAGATACTAGCCTGCCTGAGCTATGTATAACAGACATCTCAACTCTCCCGGACGCTCCGGGAGTCTCCCGCTATTAGATAGCGGCTCCCGGCCGCCCGGGAGAGAAACAGTTTCTCCCGGAAAGGTTTAAATCTGCTCTATCAAGCAGATTAAACCTTTCCCTGCGATCGTTTTTTTTTTTCTTTTAGCTAATGCACCCGCCCACTGCTGCTGTCAATCAGCAGAGGGGGACCTGAATTTTTCTATCAGGTCCTCTTCTGCTGATTGAAAGCAGCAGTGGGCGGGTGCATTACCTAGTTTCCTATTGGCTATTGCAAAGTGCAATAGCCAATAGGAATCTAGCTATGCAATCGTATGCCTTTTTTTTTTTTTTTTAATTCTGACGACTGCCCCTGTCAGAATACAAAAAAAAAAAGAAAGCCTGCAGATAGCAAAAAAGCTATTGCTTCCTGTGCTATCTGCCATCATTTCAGGGGGTGCTCTCTCCCAGCCCCCCCTAACCTCTCCTCCGTGGATGGGGGGAGAGCACCTCCCGGAAATGAGAGGGACACCTCCCTGAA